GGGGTAGGGGGGTCTGGGGGGGTGGTTTCCCCTTTTACCCTGCCCCCTACTCAAAACAGCCCTAAACTTCTTGAAATTTCCCTTAAAAAAAGAAATCCACGCTCCACCCCCGTGTCCCCATTTTCATGTGGAGTTCGCCTGGATTTTTTAAGAAATATCGTGGGGCGTTTTTTACGTATAATTAAGATATGTGAGAGAGCCCTGCCGCCCGTTCCCCCTTGTTCCCCCTTTAAAATCTCGTCAACTGACTGATGGCCCCCCACGTAAAGGGGGTCTTTAAATAATCCGGGGTCAGCGCAATAAATAGACAGGACTCAGGGGGGTTGGCGTTGAGTCCACGGTACACGGGGTACGGTAACGGGTTACTACTATGAATCAAGAATCAATTTGTAAGTAAAAATTCCCCCGGGGGGTTATGTCAGATATTTCATTCGTGAGGCTGACGAAAACCTACTTTTTTGGGGACTAAAAGTCCACACCTTTACTGCCGATTTATATTTTGAAAAAACCCTTTGTGTAAAAATTGGGCAACCCCCCGATCTACAAAAAAATTGTAACATACCTGCTCTATGAAACGTAATGGGTTTTCTCAACACCTTGCATTTTATCGGGACTATAAAGCTAAAGGTCCTGGATGCCCACTCTTCCATTGTTGGGAAACGCACATGGTACACTATGTTCCAAAGTTTGTTTTATTGTTCACAATGTTCACAAGGAACTGACACACTTCTTTTTATTTATCGTGTTTTGTGAGACATTTGCCCACACAACGCCCCGATCAGTGTTTTTTGTTGGTTTCCTGGCATCGTCACTGTTGAGTCAAAGTTAATTGCCACCCCACACCCCCCCAAGCCGCACTCCCCAAATACACAAAAAAAAAGCGCCCCTAGACCTGCATCCTTGTCATCCTCGATGAAGAAAAGCAGAATGTTTGTTTCTTGCTGTCTTAAGCATAGACAACAATGTACACAAATGAAATAAAGTGGGAGCAGGATTTTCCTTTAAATTTCCTGCTAAGTAAGAGATGTACTGTCTCTTATAAAAATACACTTTGCAACACCGCTGCAAGGAGCAGAGGTCACTTGACTACGTGGCATAGCATCTGTGATCAATTACTCACTCTAGCATAAACAAGACCCGCCCCTTCTGAGGGCTTGCCATCAGGGCTGAAAGGGGTGAAGGGGCTGAAAGGGCTGAAGGGGCTGATACCCCCCTCCTGGAGAAAATTTCTCCACAGTATGAGTTCTCATGTGACATACTAAGTCAGACCTTCGTGAAAAGTCTTTTGGACATTGTGAACACTGATATGGTTTCTCTCCTGTATGAGCTCTAATGTGATGTACTAAATGAGGTTTTTCTTTTAAAGTCTTTCAGACACACTGAACACTGGAATGGTTTTCTCTCCAGTATGAGTTCTCTTGTGATTAACTAATGTTGATCAAGAGAGAAGGGATTCATACATTCTGAACACTTATATGGTTTTTCTCCAGTAGAGTTTTTCATGTGACATACTAGGTCAGACCTTTGCGAAAAGTCTTTTGGACATTGTGAACACGATATGTTTCTCTCCAGTTTTGAATGATCAAGTGCCTTTTTAAAGTATTTTTTTAAGAAAATTTTTTCAGACACATAAACACTGATATGGTTTTTCTCCAATATGAGTTCTCATGTGTTGTAGTAAATTACATTTATCAGAAAGCTCTTTAAGACACATTGAACGTTTGAGTGTTTTTATAGTCTATAATAAATCTGGTGAGAGATACGCACTGTTACTTGAGAAGAAGGGTGTTGTAGCGAGTGTAATTTTCATCAACACCTGTACGTTGATTTGTCTTAAAACACAGTTTTTTCAGATGTTTTCAACATAATGATTAATAATGATGTCGTATATTAATTACTTAACTATGTTTTTAGTGTAGTCACTGTATTAACCCAAAATATACATATTTACAAATCTTCAGATTTGTAACAGTGATATTGGGAATGCAAAGTCAGTTTAGTATTGACACTACAATTCGAATATTTTGCCAGAATACTGAAGTATTTACCAACAAGGCCACCCAGGGCAGGAACCCGAAGTATTTCACTACAAGACCCCTTTAGGTAAGGGCCTGAAGTATTGACACAACAAGAGCCCCCAGGTGCAGGAACCCGAAGTATTGACACAACAAGAGTCTCTAGGTGTCAGGATGCCCAAGTATTGTCCAGTAAAGCCAGCCTCAGGGTGCAGGTACCAAGTATTGACTTAAGAGTACCCCCCAGGGGTCAGGATGTCCGCAAAATAAAAAAATATATTTTCTTTTATTATATATATCATCGTAATAAAGTTGGTATTCACTCCTACCAAACACCCCTCAGCATCCCTGCGGGAACCCAAGCCCCTTGACCCCAAAAACCTTTTTTTTAAACCCCCCCCCTAAACCCTTTTCCCCTGGGCCCGCCCCCTTTCCTCCCCTTTTCCTTTTCCACTACAGACTGATACACTCTTGAAGTTTTTTTTTTCGCTCCTTTTCACCACATGCCCCAAAACCCCCTCAAAAAAACCCTTTCCTCACCCCTTGGACAACTTTTTTTTGGTAATCCCACCCCTCCCCAAAACTTCCAAATACGAATTCTCTGCATTAATTCACCCCACCATTGCTTCGGGAACATGAATCCCCCATTTGCCCCCCAGCCTTCTCCTCGCTGCAACATTGATCACCCCCATGGTTCACCCCCCATATAAGAGCTTTGGGAAAAACTTTTACCTCTCCCTTTTTCCCCTTTTCCCTAAAAGGAAAAAGGGTTCTTTGTCTCCACAGACCCCAAAACCCCCCAAAAATTTTCACCCTTTTTCCCCTCATAAAATTCTATGATTCACCTCTTCTTTTAAAACCCATCCGCGGGACCCCGGTCTACTCCCAAATATCTGAATACATTCCCTCCTCCATACTCTCTCCCTCCAATCGGATATCCAATTTTTTCATCCCAAAATTTTTTGTTATCCTCATTACCTTACTCTTTTCCGGTTTTTTCCCCTTTTTTTTTTTCCCCCCAAACCCCCCCCCCCCCTTTTTTTTCCCTTTTTTCCCCAAAAACCCGGCCCGGGGGAAAAATTTTTTTTTTTTTTTTAAACCCCCCCCCTTTTTTTTCCTTTTCCCCCCCCCCCCAAAAAAAAAAAAAAAACACCCCCCGGGGGTTTTTTAAAAAAAAATTTTCCCCCCTTTTCAAAAAACCCCCCCTTCCCCCCAAAAAAAACTGCCCCCCCCAAAAACCCCCCAACCCCAACAAAACCCCCCCCCAACCCCAAAAAAAAAAATTTTTTTTTAAAAAAAACCAAAAAACCCCCCCCCCAAAAAAAAATTTTACTTAAATTTTTTTAAAAACCCCCCCCCAACCCCCCCCCTTCCCCCAAACCCCTTTTCCCTTCCAACCTTTTAAAACCCCAAAAAAAATTTTCCCCAAAAAAATTCCCCCCCTTTCCCCAAAAAAATTTCCCAAACCCCAAAAAATTTTTTTTCCCCCCCCCCCAAAAAAAAAAAATTCCTTCCCCCCCCCCCCCACCCCTTCCCTTTTTTTTAAACCCCCCCCCCCAAAAAAAAACCCCCCCAAAAAAAACCCCCCCCCCCCCCCCCAAAAACCCCCCCCCCCCCAAAAAAACCCCCCCCCCCCAAAAAAAACCCCCCCCCCTTTTTTTTTTAAAAAAAAACCCCCCCCCCCAAAAAAAACAAAAAACCCCCAAAACCCAAAAAATTTCCCCCCCCCCCCTTTTTTTTTTTTTTAAAATCCCCCCCTTTTTTTTTCACACCCCTTTTAATTTTCCCCCCCCCCCTTTTTTTTCCCCCCCCCCCCAAAAAAAACCCCATCTAAAAATATATAAAAAACCCACGGTGACTTCACAATCCTTGTCAAAGGCCTATTTTACTGGGAAATAATTTCCCCTTTCCTAATCTCAAAATTTACCTTTACTTCCTGTAAAAAAAATTTTTCTCTTCAGTAAAACCCCCTCCTCCCAAAACCCCCCTGAACTCTGCCACATTGCCCCCCATCACCCTGTTATCGCCCTTTCCAAAACTATAAATGCCACAAAGACCCTTTAGCCTTATTAAATACGTTCATTATATTTTTATGTAAAATGGTCCACCACCCCCCACCTTTCCTAAAACCCCCCTTGTTCAACTGTACCCATTTTTCCGTTTAATTTAATTCTTTTAATAATAACCCACCCCATAACTTTGCCCGGTTATCCAAAAATTATCCCCCTTTTAATTTTTGCACTCTCTTTTATCCCCTTTGCCTTTATAAAAAGGAACATGCATGCTTCTGCCCAAACCCTAGGTACCCTTTCCCCTTTCCCTAATTTATTAAAAAAATCCAAACCCCCCTTTTTCCCCCCTCAACACCAAAACCCCCCCCCCTAAACCCCCCCCCCCCCCCCCTTTTTAAAACCCCCCCCCCCCCCTTTTTCCCCCTTTTTTTCCCCCCAAACTCTTTTCCTTTTTTTCCTTTCCCCCCCCCCCTCCCCCCCCCCCCCCCCCCCCCCCCCCCCCCCCCCCCCCCCCCCAATTTTTTTTCCCCAACCCCCCCCCCCCACCCCCCCCCCTTTTCCCCCCCCCCCCCAAAAAACCTTCCCCCCCATCTAAAACCCCCCTCCCTTCCCATTGCCCCCCCCTTTTCCCAAACCCCATTTTTTTCCCCCCCCTTTCCCCTTTTTTTAAAAACCCCCTTTTTTTTTCCCATTTACCCCCTTTTTCCCCAAAACCCACCCCCTTTTTTAAAAAAATTTATATTTTTTTTTTCCCCCCCTTTTTTTAAAGTTTTTTTACCAAACTTTAACCCCAAAAATTCCCCAAAAAAAAATCCCCAAAAAATTTTTTAAAAACCAAAAACCCCCCCCCTTCCCTTTTTTTTTTTAAAAAGGAAATATTAAACCCCCCCCCTTTTCCCCCCCCCCCAAAAATTTCCCCATTTCACCCCCCCCCTCCCCCCCCCCCCCACCCCCACCCCCCCCCCCCCCCCCCCACCCCCCCCCCCCAAAAAAAAGGGCCCCCCCCCTACCTTTTTTTAAATTTTTCCCCTTTTTTCCTTTCAATTTTTTAAAAGAAAATTTTAAACCCCCCCCCCCCTTTTAAAAACCCTTTTTTATTTTTTTCCCTTTTTTTAACCCAAACCCCCCTTTTTTTTCCCCCAAAACAATTTTACAAAATTAAAAAACCTTTTTAAAACAAAAAAAACCCCATTTTGGGATTTTTTAAAAAAAAACCCCCCGGGGGAAAATTTTTCCCCATTCCAAAAGGAAAATAGGGGAAAAAAAGCAAAATTTGGGAAAAAAAATTTTTTAATTTTTTAATAAAAAATATAAATTTTAAAAAAATAATATATTTTATATATTATATATATTATATATATATTATTTTTTTTTAAAATATATATTTTTTAAAAATGCATGTGCTTTGTCTGGTGTGCAAAAAGTAGGAAGAAGAACCGTTACTATGTTTTTTGGAAAAAAAAGAAACCAGCAATCCTCCATCATGAAAAAATTTCAGGTTTTTTTTTAAAGTTTGGGCAGGGGTAAATCCCTGGGGGTTGCGTCCCAACCTACTACCTTAATTCCTTATTCCCGGTTCTTACCTGGGTTTGAAAACCCCCATACTTTTAATTTCCCTTGTTTATGTCCGTATCCATTATACACTCAATGATATTCCCCCCATTTTATGCCTCTCCGGAAATGGAATTTTAAAGGGTTTTAAATCTACTTTTAGGGAGGTTCCTTTTCAAAGTAAATCTTTTGTCATTCTTCTCTGTATGTTCTTAATGAGTCTATGTCCATCCTGTAGTAAGGGGACCAAAAGACACATAACTAAATGGGGCCTCACTAGTGATGTATGAGCTGTAAAATAAATTTTGGACTTTCGTTTTCTTATTCTTCTTGAGTAAATCCCATAATTGTTGTTTTTGCGCATGCTGTCTTGGCTTTGATTTTGCTTTACCTGATCCCAGGGGGCTTTTCACATTTTCCTATACCCCAAACTTTTCAACCTAGTTTAGCTTTGAGGGTTATTTTTTATTACCCAAAGGGGAGAAAGTACATGATAATAACACTTGGAAAATCCTAAGGGAAATTTGTACCAAAAAATTTCTCAGGAGAATCATCCCCAAATGCAAAAATTGCAGGAGATGAACTTTCTCAGAAAGGAAAGCAAGGGGGCCCCGGTACACTAAAAGAAAACAAATAAGTTTCGGGGCCAAAAATGTTCGACTGCCTTTTGCATACATAAGGGGGATTTTCCCAAGGACCATGGCTGTCTTCAAAAAGGTGTGGGTTGGCATGTAAAGTCAGTACCCCGGTAGCCCGGGTTTGGTTCGAAGGGTTTTGTGTGGGCAGCGTAGTTGCCGGGTTACCAAACCTGATAACCCCCGTAATCGATAAGGGACCTAAATTATGGGAATGGTTGAAGGTCCTTGACCGATTCCTTTGAATGCGGCGAGAGGATACATGATAAAATTTCACTTGGGAAGACCTGTAAGATTGATACCAAACTGAATGAAAAACACTCCTATGAAAGAAAAGACTCGGGAAGTGAAATTCACCCCCTGAAAAGCAGGGCACCCCGAATGAATGAAGACGCACAGTTGCCCCTTAGCATAATAAGGGGGTTACCCAAAAGACCCGGCTTCTTCAAGAAGGCCCGGCATGACCTAAATCGGTACCTGAATAACGGGGGTGGCCAGCAGTAACAACCTGGTTGATGAATGATCCCCCCCTTTAAGCCTGGTCTCAGACCCGGGGCAAGGGCGTTTACCCCCGAAACCTCTCCGGTAAACCAAAAGGCCGATCTCATATAACCCGTATTTTATTTTTTTTACCAATTAAAAATTTGATCTTCAGAATGACACTATTGTAAAGAAATACAATAAATATATAAAAAAGACATTCAGGAAGGCCATCAAGGTGGTATTGTGGCAAAGTAAAACTGAGGGTAGGAATTAATAGATTGTTTATTTGATAGATGTCACCAGTTGTGTTGCATGCAACACACTGCCAGACATGCAACACACTGCCAGACAAGTCTCTCCCAATACCAGAATCTTCGAGAAGAAAAAACGCTCAAAAATTATTTCATAATTTAGGTTAAGTAATGTTTAGTAAACTAGACCAAAATATTGATATATTTATTTATTTTAATGATATACTGTCATGAATCATATCTTACTAGTATGAGTTCTCATATGACTTACTAAACCAGACTTTCGAGAAAAGTTTTTCAGGCACATTGAGCACTGATATGGTTTCTCTCCAGTATGAGTTCTCATGTGATTTACTAATGTTGATCTATGAGAAAAGGCATTCATACATTCTGAACACTTATATGGTTTTTCTCCGGTATGAGTTCTCATGTGACGTACTAGGTCAGACCTTTGTGAAAAGTCTTTTGGACATTGTGAACACTGATATGGTTTCTCTCCGGTATGAGTTCTCATGTGACATACCAAGTCAGACCTTCGTGAAAAGTCTTTTGGACATTGTGAACACTGATATGGTTTCTCTCCTGTATGAGCTCTAATGTGATGTACTAAATAAGGTTTTCTTGCAAAGTCTTTCAGGCACACTGAACACTGGAACGGTTTCTCTCCAGTATGAGTTCTCTTGTGATTTACTAATGTTGATCTATGAGAAAAGGTATTCATACATTCTGAACACTTATATGGTTTCTCTCCTGTATGGGTTCTCATGTGACGTACTAGGTCAGACCTTTGCGAAAAGTCTTTTGGACATTGTGAACACTGATATGGTTTCTCTCCAGTATGAATGATCAAGTGCCTTTTTAAAGTTTTTTTTTTAGAAAAATTTTTCAGACACACTAAACACTGATATAGTTTTTCTCCAATATGAGTTCTCATGTGTTGTAGTAAATTACATTTATCAGAAAGCTCTTTAAGACACATTGAACGTTTGAGTGTTTCATAGTCTATAATAAATCTGGTGAGAGATACGCACTGTTCTTGAGAAGAAGGGTGTTGTAGCGAGTGTGAATTTTCATCAACACCTGTACGTTGATTTGTCTTAAAACACAGTTTTTCAGATGTTTTCAACATAATGATTAATAATGATGTCGTATATTAATTTACTTAACTATGTTTTTAGTGTAGTCACTGTATTAACAATATATACAGTATTTACAGAATCTTCTGATTTGTAACAGTGATCTTGGCAATGCAAGAGTCAGTTTAGTATTGACACTACAAGTATCAGAATATTGTGCCAGAATAACTGAAGTATTGACACAACAAGAGCCAGCCTCAGGTGTCAGGATACCTGAAGTATTGACACAACTAGCCAGCCTCAGGTGTAAGGATACCTGAAGTATTGACTCAACAAGAGCCAGCCTCAGGTGTCAGGATACCTGAAGTATTGACACTACAAGAGCCAGCCTCAGGTGTAAGTATACATGAAGTATTAACACAAAAAGAGTCAGTCTCAGGTGTCAGGATGCCTGAAGTATTGTCACAGTAAGAGCCAGCCTCAGGTGTCAGGCTACCTGAAGTATTGACTCAATAAGAGTCAGCCTCAGGTGTCAGGATGTCCTGCAAAATAAATAAAATATATAATCTTTTATTATCATCATCATCGTAATAAAGTTGGTAGAATTACCGACAATATGTAAAGTAAAAGGGCACAAGTGCAACTAATGTCACATTTTTATTGTTGACAACGTTTCGCTTTCCAGGAAGACAGAAGAAATGAATGGTTCAAATAACAGACACGTTGTTAAATTAGACACACAGGGTAGCATTGAAAATTGGGTTGGGCAAATGTTTTGTTAGTGGGATGAATTGTAAAGGACCTGCCTAGTATGGGCCAACAGGCCTGCTGCAGTGTTCCCCCTTTCTTGTGTTCTTATCTGCAACTCTTGGGTATCTATATTGAGGAAACGTTTCGCCACACAGTGGCTTCATCACTCCATACAAAGGATAAACTTGAAGAACAGGAGGAGAATGTGGTGGTCAGTCCATCAATCTTGAAGAAATATACAAAATATCTGTTTATCAGAACTCAGCCTTGGAGTTGGTGTGAAGAGCAACTCAGAGGTGAAGAATCTTCACAGCCACGGTCCTAAAACTTGTATTGATAAAGCCACTGGATGTCGAAACGTCTACAATAAAGATACCCAGAAGTTGCACATCTCTCAAAATTTTCATCAGTTATATTTTTTAAAATTTTAAAAAAAACTTTTAAATTAAAAAGGAAAAAGAAGGTAAACTTTTTACAATTGAAATTTTGGACCACTTTTAAAAAATTCGGGGTTAAAAAAATAAACTTATTTAAAAAAACGTTTTGGATCCAAAGGTGGCCCTTTACAAAAAAGGGTTTCCGGGAAAATTTAAATTTAAAAATGAATTTTTATGTTTTTTTCTTTTATTGGGATAAAACCCAAAATTGGTTTTTGGCCAAATTTTTTCTACCTATAAAAAACCAATTTTCAAATGTTTTAAACCTTTCCCCTTTTTTGGGGGAAGGCTTTTATGGGTTTGGGTTAGTTTTGAAAATAAAAGGGGGGTTAAAAAGTTATTTGGGACCCAAAGTTTGGTCCATTTTTTTTAAAAAACTTTTAAAATGAAACCTTAAAAGGGTTGGGGAAAGGGTTTAAAAACCGGGAAATAATTTTTCCAAAATTTTTTTCAAAAAACTTTTTAAAAAGAAAGAAAAATGCAAAGGTTTCCCCCAACTCGGTTGGCCTTAAAAAACCATATTAAAAAACCATTTAAAGGGTTTAAAATTTTGAAAAACCCCGACAAAAGGTCTTGGGATTTTTAAAAAATAAAAATAAAAAGGGAGAAAACTGCAGGGGCCTTTGGGGCCCATACGGGCGGGGTTTTTAAAAACACATCCCCAAAATTAAAAACAAAAACATTTGAACCCCAGAACCAATGGAAAAACGGGGCATTTTTAAAAACCTCTTGGGTATTCAAGAAAAAAAACTGAGAAAACCCCTCCAAAGGGCCCCCCCCGGCCCATAAGGCCGGGTCCTTTTAAATCCCCAAAACCCAACCTTTTTAAATAAAAACCTTTAAGATCTAAATTTTTGGGAAAACCATCAAACCTATGGCCCTTTTCAAAAATTTCCCTTTCCCAAATTTCCGGTTTTTACCTTTGCCCCCTCAGAAACAAATTCCCCACCCCCCAAACCCCCAAATTTCAAAACCCCCTCCCGCCTTTTAAAGGGAGTTTGGTTTTTAAAGGGCCCCCCAAAAAATTAGTTTTTTTTTACCCCACCTTGGGGAAAAGCCCTTTTTTCCACCTTCCTTAAATTTTCAAAAATTAAAACCAATTTAAAAACCAAAAAGTATTTTTCTAAAATTTTTTTAAATTAAAATTCCTTTTTCCTGGTTTTTACCTTGGTTCCGAAAAAAGAAAACTTTTTAAAGGCCCCTTTTTTTCCCGTTCATTAAAAAAAAAAAATTTTTTTATTTCCCCTTAGGGGGGGGGGGGGGGGGGGGGGGGGGGGGGGTTGGGGGGGGGGGGGGGGGGGGGGGGGGGGGGGGGGGGGGGGGGGGGTTTTTTGGGTGGGGGGGGTTTTTTGGCGGGGTGGGGGGGGGGTTTTGAAAAGGGGAAAAATTTTAATTTTTTTTTTCCAATTCTGCCCCCTTTTATCCAATAATCCAAAGTATTTGAATTTTTCCCAAAAATTTAAAACCTTTAAAAAAATTAGAAAAACCCTTATTCTAAAATTTTCCCTGGGGAATATTTTTCCCTTTTTAATTAAAAGTAATAAATGCAGAAATAGAACTGTAGAGGAATAAGTTACTTCCGAGATTTTGGCCCTTTAAAAAGGGGCCCGGGCCCCACCGTCTAAAAAAAAAAATTTTTTTTTTTTTCCCCCAAAAAATCGCGTTTTTTTGGGGTGTTTTTTCTTAGAAAAAATGTGTTCTAGTGCGGGTTTCCTTTTTCAAAAAAACCGGGTTTTCCCCCCTTTTCAGAGACCAAAAAAATTTACGACACGGAGACGACATGGAAGCAAAAACTCAAAAAATTTACGAAATTTCCCGATAATCTTTCGCCATATTAGGTCTTTTTTTTTTTCATTTCTAGAGAATATAACTTTTTGAAATGTTATTTAGAGTGTTTTTATATCATATTAAAAAAATTCTGATAGATAAATAACCCTGTAATTTGATATTAAGCTGTATAAGCGTAAATTAATGAATTTAATTTCTCCTGGCGCGGAAACCCCCTTCCGCGCATTAGGGAATATGTTTTAATGACTGTTGCTCAATCTAGGGATAAGCTCCCCCTTCATTTTTTAATGTGCCAATTTGCCCAATTATTATAAAAAGAAAGTAAATGCAAAAAAAAAGCGATAAAAAAAAAAGGAAAAATTTTCCAAAAAATTTTTATGGGCTGGAGAGATTTCGCTACCAATTCACCGCCCCTTTCCCTCATATAAATGACTGAAAATTTCTTGTGGGGAAAGGGTCGGGGAAAAAATTCTTTCCCGGACCATTGTGTTGCCAAAGAGTTGAGCTATTTTTAAAGTATATAAAAATCACTATCCTTATTTTTCCGATATTTCGGTGAGGGGCGCGGGGGAAATTCCCGGGGGCCCCCCTTAAGTCTATTTCATAGGGGGGTTTCCCTTTCACAGTAAATCATTTTAGGTCATTCTTCCCTGTAGTTCTTTTAATGAGTCATGTCCATCCTGTAGTAAGGGGCCCAAAAAACTGAGCGCTTTACTTAATGGGCCCTTGGAAAAAGCCCACTGTGTGGGCAAAAACGTTGTAAATAAAGGATCAATTTACTGCATTGTTTTTATATTATATTGTGTGGGTGTTTTAAAACCATTTTTTTCCCCCCCAAACCCAAGTCACTAAAATTTAATCAAAAATTCAAGAGAAATATTAGAGTTCGGGCAACGTTTTTTAGCATTCGTATTTATAAGGGTGAGAAGCCCCAAAGTGTTTTTCTTGCCCACGAGGTTTGACTTATTTTAAAATTAGTAAATTTTGTATCTGGGTTTTTGGGGGGGTCAAAGTTGGGGGGTAAATAAAGTTAAACTGGCGTGACATAAGGCAATATTGAAGTTACTGGCCCGCCTCTCCCAAAAATTTTGTCCCTCATCCCCCACTGATTTTAATGGGAATTCTTTTTACCCAAAAAATTTAAATTTGTAACTTTGTTAGTTGGTGCGGGTACTTAGCTCAGTGGTGGTTTACTTAGCTCAGTTTTGACGTGTACTTAGCTCTGTGAAGACCTTTTGTGTGCTCCTTTTGAATCTAAACCGGATGCCCTCTTTTTTGAGCAGCTTTACCAGCACCTGAGAGAAGAATTTCAAGTTGCTAAACGGGAAATAGGGCCGATTTAACGGGGGAAAAACAAAAAGGGATTCGTAAAATCCCCCGGGTTTGTGAGCCCAGGTTAAGAGGGGGCTTGGTCAGTGGTCGGGCAACAGGGAAACCCAAGCTAAAGGGATTAAGAAAAGGGTTTTTGGAGAGGCAGAAACAACGAAAAACCCAAAAAGACTGCCGTGGAAATTTTCCAACCCCATTCTCGGTGCTCCCAAAGACGAATTTTGAGGTTCTACGGGAATGCCAAACGAGCCCCAAAGGGAAAGCTTGGCAGACGTGAGTAAACACCCCTAAAACCCCAAACCGAAAAACCCGAAAAACGTCAGGGAGAACCCAAAAAAGTGGTGAAATTTGGCTCCCCCGGCGAATTTGAGCCGACTACTGGGAGCATCACTACGGACGACCCCAAAGGGAAAGGTAAAAACATTGTTGTTTTTTGGGGTTAGTCAGATTAGGTACATGGTTTTAGGGCATTCTGTTTAAGGTAGGAAAAGGGGCAGAGGTGTGTTTTCCGGGGGCGGGGATGAAGGTTTTGTTACCCCGTCTGGATGAAAATCTTTGAGAAGGTGGGGGGAGCAATCCTATTATCGTCTCAGTGCTGGGGGCAACGATGTTGGAAGAGTGGGAAAGTGGGGAAAATGTTTAGAGGTATAGGTCAGCAATAGAGAAAATTTAGGAAGAAGGGGGGGAAACCTGTCTATTGGCTTTTTTGGCCAAGGAGAGGATTTAAAATTTGATGTTGCCCAGAGAAA